GTAAAGATTTTAAAACTGGTGTTATGTGGTCACCTCTAGATTTTCCAGCAACCAGCCTGGCTACCCTATTTTGAATTAATTGGAGTTTCTGAGTTAGGTACAAGGGTAGCCTCATGTAAAGTGTGTTACAGAAGTCTAATCAAGAGGTTACCAGAGCATGTACCACTGTTTCTAGGTCTTCCGGCTTTAGTCATATACAGTACAGTTCAAAACGTGGCTTCCTCCAGGATACTCCAAGCTGTTAGGGCCGTAAGCAGTTTCCTGCCTCATTTTCTATTTTTCTTTTCTAATTAACATTCTATTGTTCTGTTGCATTAAGTCCTGAATATAAATTATGACAGCAGTTAAAGCTGTCAACAAATGTTACCTTAGAAAATGAACAAATTTTAAACTACTCTAAACTTGTAAAAGTTTTAAAAGTTGCTTTATAAACTTAGATTTCTGGATTTGCAAGTGTTTTGACTCTTTGTAGTTCTGACTTGTCAAAAATGTATAAGGAGTGAGTAACTGTCTTCCGGCCCTCACTCGTAAAGAGTGAGTTGCAATAATAATCAAAATGTCTAATACAGAATCTATATTAATTAATTTCTCGACTTATAATAGGGGCAGATATCTGCCACAGAAAAACTAATGCATATTCAAAAAGACTTCTTTCTTTCAGAATAGGGAAGGGGAACTGAGCTTTAAAAATTAAATGTTCTTATTAAGTTTATTTTCCTGTATTATTATTCAATAAAATGGGAAGACTATCAATAATGCCAAATCAAAATATGCTGATTTTATTTACATCATAAGTTGGAAATGATTATCTACCATATGAATTATTCTACCATTAGTCCTCATTCCATATGAAATGGGTAACACAATTCTATGTTTACCTTTAAAGCACAAAATATGCAGGCATCACCCTGACAAATGTGTCCAGTTAGTCCTCTTAAACTCCGTCGGAATATGTCAAGTTGCCATAAAACCTAGAAGATAAAAAAGCTGAAAATGAAGGTTTCTGTTTCTTTCCCAAGGATTTTCCAGAGAGAATGCTTTAACTTTTTTGGTGAAATCTGATAAATTCAATACAACAAATGCTGAATGTTATCAGTATTCTAAATTGCATCTTATTCCCTCTAACCAGTCCATTATAGTGCAATCATGACTGTAAGAAATCATGAATAATGTTTTACCCAGTAACTATCATGGTCTTTTATAGCTACTTATTTAATTTTATCTCCTTTTACACTGTACTGCACAAATATAGCAGTTTGGAACCACCTTAATTCCCATGGCTGCATCTTGTGGAATCCTGAGAGTTGTACTTTAGTGTAACATTAAAGCAATCTGGCACAGAATTCTAAATAACCTCCCAAAAAATCCAAATCCCAGGATTCCTAAGGCTATAGCCATGATGGTTAAAGCAGTATCAAGTATTAAGATGCATTATAAGATGAACAGTGAACACAATTTTATTTTAATGATTTAAAAGCAATAACTGTCATTTGATTCACTGCAAATATATTGTGTTCATAAAAATTAAGTCATGAAAATTACAACAACTATTGTTAGAATCCAGGAATGTTGTTTACACTCTTGTAATATGAATAATACTCAGATTTAAAGGGTTTAGATTTTCACTGAAGCAATAAAGCTATTTTTTTTCTCATGAAAATAAAGAAAGGGTAGAGTCAGCGTGGTGTAGTGGTATGAGTGTTGATTATGACTCTGGAAATCAGGGTTCAATTCCCTATGCAAATACATGACATTTGGAAGGGACAAATGTGATCAATTTGGGGTAGAATCAGCAGAACCTAAGATTAATAAACCATAAATATCAGCTTAAATTTGAAGATCATGCAACACACATCACTGTTTCAGAATGAAAAAGATTTTAAAAGCTAGAGGTCAACTTAAACAGTGGCTCGTTTTAAACACAACATATCTAACTGGAGAGCAGATGAAATGAAGCTGTCTGCAAACATATTTCTCATACTGAAATAACAAATCTTCATATTCTGGTTATCTTTTAAAAACAAGTATTAGAAAGGAAGGAAATATAAACATATGTCAAAAAGGAAAATGAAAAAAGCCCTATGGCTGCTTGAGCCTATTTAAATATTTATAAAATATTATATGTTCATTATATAGTTCATTTATTTAATGAACTGTAGGGGATGTTAGACCTTAGGGGTGGGGGGGGCCAGGCCTTGGACCCACAAGCAGCCTTTCTGAGTGTAACCCTTTGCACTCCCATTGCAGCCTCCTAAGCCAACAGCACCTCCCTAATTCCTCTGGTGGAAAAGAACAACCAACATTGGGCATTATTTGGCTGGTTTGGGGAAGGGAACATCCCAAGTGGCCCTAAAGATGAATGGCAGTGACATGACACCCCCTGGAGAGTACCAAAATTGAAAAGTGCAACCTTCTGAGAATGAAGTCATGGCCACCCCAACTACAAAAGTGTCTGCATAATCACAAACGCATCTGTACAGATAATTTTTTCTATTTATTGGCCACAATAAAAAAGAGAAAGCTACGTTCCTTTCGAAGATTGCAGCAGCTGAAACACGAGAGGCCATAAATTCAGAAATAGCTGTAATCAATTTTGTGTAAGCCAGGGGGCCAGGTTGCTGTCCCTCAGACAACTGGGGGGCAAAAGCACCATAAATAAATAAATAAATATATGCATGCACTCTCTCTCAACCCCAGAAAAGCCATGGCAAAACCCCTGTGGAGATTTTGCCAGGAAAAACCCAAGAACAAGCAATAACAATAATCAATATCATCATGGTGGGCGGGGGCGGCAGCGGCGGCAGGACCGGCCTGGGGCCAGTCCAAAGGCCTTGGGGGGCCGCATCTGGCTCCCGGGCCTTAGGTTGCCTCCCCCTGGTGTAAGCAGTAAGTGGCGATAGTACCACAACTAGAGCTAGGTTTTAAAAACTATTTCTTACCAGATGGAAGTTACTTGCAGTGATAGAAACTACTTAAAATCAATTAAGCAACCACTTAAGTTAGAATTTTTTGCAGTGAAAAGGGGCAAATTAATTCATTTTAAAATTAACTGAACACATACATTCAACATATTCACTGTTACATGAATACTGAAAAATGTATTGTACTTTGCATATGATTTCTTAACAACCTTTCTGGTACTTAACATGGGCTTTTACTAATATCTTAAGATACTAACATTGGGAGTTAAACAAAAGGGTTGTTGATAGACCCCAAGTAGATAATTTTTCAGTTGTACACACAAAATATGAGATTCCACTTAGAAGCCTTTTTGCTAGTTAACTAAATTACATATTAACTAAATTACAAAAAGGTTGACTTTTGATTACTTATACAGACTGAATTCATTATTTCATTTGGTTTAAATAAGTACAATTTAGGTGCAGTTGATATATTTAAGCTTTCACATGACAATACTCTAGATTTTATTCATTTTTCATTCCTTTTGTAATTATCATTGCTTAATTTTATGGGACAATTTCATGTGAAAGTTTTCCAGCAGTAAATGCATTTTGCACCTGTTTTTAAAAGATAGGCTGCACCAAAAGAGTACGGAAGAGTTATGGCACCATCTCTTACGGCAGCCTTTTGCCGCCCCTAAAAGTATCAGCATTTTTCGCTCTTTTAGGGGCGGCAAAAGGGAGGATCGGGGCTGTGGCATGGGGTTGCCGCGGCCCTGACCTGTGGATAGCAGGGGCGGCCCAGAGCTGCCCGTCTGCATAGGCCCTTACACTAGAAGTGGCAGCTACAGAAGCAGGATTTCCCTGCACCCAGCTTGCATTCCTGGATCAAAAAAAGGGTTAACTATGTCTTCTGGGAACCTCCAAAAGCAACAATTCAACTGGGAAAAACACACACACACAAATGGGTACATGGGAATACTAGTGTGATCTAAATCTTACACCAGAGATAAGTAGGATTCTCCTGTCCAGGGCAGGGGGGCATATCTTTGTGAAGGGCGTTCGCATATCCTTTGTAGGCTAAATCCAGGCCTCTTAAAGGCAGGAATTTCTTTTCTCCCATGATCATTCTTTCAGAAGTCACTTTGACCTACAAATATAGAGGAAGCTTCTGTAAGAGTTCCTCAACAGGGTCATTTCCTTGCCTTATTCAGAATTACTAATTCATCTTCCCCCATTCTATGAGACCCTTTGTTTCTAAAAACATGGGGCAAGCAAAAAAGGACACTGGTGCTTACTTGTCATTGTGTGCAGATTTGGAGATGTAAAGTGAGCAGGCAGGAACAATGCTGAGGGCTGGAGAGAGAAACAGGACCAGGGAGGCCTGGAGGTCGGCAATGGATCTCCTGTGTTGTCTGTTCTTTAGCAATTGTCTCAAGATGCCAACACTTGACACTGGCTTTGTTTACACGAGAGGTTCTCAGACTTTTTACTCTTGTGACCCTCTTTACATCTACATGTGAATATTGCATTTGTTTGGTGTGGATATTTTCATTCACACATTCAAGTATATTGATATTTTAACATTTTATAAGGAAATAGCTTTCTTCTTCCTACTCTTCCTCACAAACAGAGGCGTCAAGCACCCTCCTTTCCTTTCTCTTCCCCCAGGACAAAAAAGGTTTGGTGGTAGTAGTAGTAGTAGTAGTAGTAGTAGTAGTAATAGGGTCTCCAAGTCTCACACCCCTCTTGAGCAACTCTCCTACCCCCCCCCCCATTTGAGAACCACTGCCTTACATTTTATGAATCAAAATTACAGCTGTTTGCTTTTTCCCAGTACTAAAGTTTTATTTATTTATGATTAAAGAAATTTTGGACACATATATGAACCTGTGTTGTTTTGATTTCTTTCTACTCTAAGAATACTTTGGAATACTGTATGACAACAGTACAGTCGTACCTCTACATACGAATGCTTCATCTTACGAAAAATT